TTCTTATACGTATATATCTTTCATACGTTTAATCGTTCACCTATAAATAATGTGTTTTTTTAATATGATACTTAGCAAAAGTAAAGTTTTTAATTCATAGGACATTTAAATCATAAAAAATTATTTAAATATAACACTTTATAATACATTTATCGTCTTAAAAATTACATAATAAATAATTCGCATAATAAAGAATTTTCAAACAATCAAATTGTTTTAATTAAACGATCTATAAACAATTCCAGGTATGGACGACCATGGAGATACGGTGGTTGGGGATATGGCAGAGGATATGGTTGGGGAGGCTGGAGAGGAGGATACTGGGGCGGCCGAGGATATTGGGGTGGAAGAGGTTGGGGAGGCGGCTGGGGATACTGGGGTTAATTTTGTCCCCCGCATTTTATCCGTGTGATATTTTATCACCATCAATGTATTCTTTTATCTTTTGCATTAATATCCGACTTCTTTAAAATATAATAGTTTTATTAGTTCTAAAAATGTTTTATTGAAGTCTCCATCGTATAAGTATTCCATTAAAATTTTTATAGTAAAAAATAAATGATATGTAAAAAAAAATGATAAGTAACAGATATTTTATCCCACCTAATCACACATATGTTTTTATATATATATAAAGCAAAAGATTCTGTTCTGCATATTTGATATATATATGATTAATTTTATTCACATGTAAATTATTTAAAATATTTTAGATAAAACCATTATTAGAAAAACATGGGAATTGGGAATAAAATAATCTTTGAAAATTTACAAATTTAAAGCAGAAGAATTTTTATGTTTAAATGGAAACTTATATATCTATTGCAAATAAGAATGCAGATATGCAGGTATTGGTGGAAGAAGAAAACGCAGAATGTAAAAAACTGTAATTATTATTAATCGTAATAATATGATTATTGACAATGACGCGACTATGTGCACATTAAAACACCTTATCTGTATCTTACAATATCAGCTTTCTTACACTATATACAATAACTAAATATCATATTACTCATTTGTTGCATTATAATAAAACTATCTATTTATATGTATATGTTCATATTTATATATTTATATATATATATTTATATTTTTCATATATATATATATATAATATTAACTTTATCGCGCGCGTTATTTGTTATTAGAGTTATCGTTATTTTCATATATATACATATGTATGTATATGTATACATATATGTATATATATATGTGTGCATGCATATAAGAAACGATTAAAAATTAACCAAATATTTATTTTTTATTTCTGTACAATATAGGCTCTTAAAACTCTGCTTATCACTGAAAAAATGTACAATGCGATGTATGCAAGGTATGAAGGTATATAAAATTCTTCGCTCGCGAAACGTTTAACCGGTTCGGCACGAGGGTCGATTCATTAATCAATCTTTGCGTTCGTGATTGATCAACGATCGAGTTACAATACGCTCCGATGAACCGCGCGGAAAAGTTTCGTTTGCGCGATCGATGAGAATTTTAAGAACGGCGGCGAGCGCGCAACATCGCCGACACATTAAACAATACTTTATTTGATTTGATTTTTCTTGCGCAGAATAACAAGAAAATAACGAGTTATGACAGTAAAGAATTGGGACGAAACGGTATCGCCAAGCTATATCTCTTCCTCTCTTTCTTTCGCTCTCACACATATACGACGCACTCTCTCATTTTCTCACTCTCGCTCTCTTTTACTCCCTTTACAAGAGAGAGATTGCGGCAAAAAACTATTTTACCTTTCTAGTCCAACGCGTGCATTTGTGTGTAAAATGTATGTTTATATGTGTCTGTCTAATTTGCATGTGTCGTTTTGCATGTGTATGTGTGTGCAAAATACATGGAAGATACTTATGTCTGATTACAAGGAGATTCGCCAGCTTGTTAATCTCTCAAATCGACAAACTTTCTTTGGTATATCTGCGTGATTTTTATTACTTATTAATGCACGTAATATATAAGAAAATCGAGAATGACACAAACGTCGCGAGAAACATTGCGAATAAATGAATTTTTCGTTCTGGTAAAATGCAATTTTTTTTCATTGTGTGTTTCTATTATTTTTATTTTTTAAGACACCTCCAAAAGTTCATCGATCGTAAGTAAACCGCGCTGCGACGCTTTTTCTCTGAGAAACGATTATCGTTGGAAGAGGCATCGAAAGTCTTTCGGCGCAATCTTGCACTATTTTATCTTTTTTTCTTTTTTTTTTAATTATTTTTTTAATGTGTTCGTCCAAAAAGAAAGTAACTTAAAACCATTTGGAAGATAAAATCCGTACGGTAACACAGCCGTTATATAAGCTTCATACCAATTACAGATTCCTGTATCTTATTCAATATACGAGTATATATACAGTTTCTTATCCTGCGTGTCGCGTTACAATTGTGGAGTGAAAAACAGTAAAAAATTATTATTCCACCTGAGAAAAAAATATTTAAAAATGTCGAGATTGTTATCTATATTTCTACTGTATCTGTATTTTAAATTCTTATTTTAATATCCATGTTTTCTCATTTTTATCGAAATAAAATTATTTCTTCCTTGTTATTCGAAAAGACACTGCTGACACGCAGTTCGCCAGGGTTTTTTACTCCACAATTGATAATGTGCGAGGACCGGGACGAAGGACCTTTTCTCCTACGGACGTCGTAATAATTGCACATTTCGCATGAATCAGCAATCGGTGAAATCTCCTATCAACGCGCATACAAAATGAATTGATGAAAACGTAAACAATGTCAATTTCGCGTGTTACAGGACATGTACCTCGATTGCACGCAATCAATCTAAAATTCAGCCGCCGCTAAATCCTTCTTCGATCGATCACGTCATACGTTCTCTGATTGTTCATCAATTTAAATCTCTTCCTTTGATACTTTTACGTACCACCAACTTAAAATACAATAACAAAAAACACACAGAAAAATAAATAAATACGATAACAAAGAGACACCAGCATCTCTCTTTCTCTAAAACCTTTATAAAGTATATTTAAAAGATTGTATTTATTTTTACTCTCTCTCTCTCTCTCTCTCGTATATATATATTGCGTCATGTTTGTGTATGTGTATGTATGTAGGATGTATCTTTGTAAAGTATAACTCGATATATGTTACTACAATTTTTCAAACCCCTTACACAATTGAGCAATAATTTATCTGAAAAACGTGCTTGCACAGTACAACAGAAATGATATTTTATCCCCGTCGAAAAATCTTCTTCTTTAAACATATTTCACTTCATCTCTTAAATATTTGCAATTAACGTAATATAAAATTAATAATTATTCAAAGTTGCTGGTACTAAAAAGTAGAGAGAAAAAGCACACGCACGCGAGCAATCCTGTCGGGAGTCTTCTTTCTCTCAAAGGGTGAAAATGATGATAATGAGATGCGTCGCTCCTCGGCCTCGCACGTAAAAAAAAGAAAAAAGAACGAAATACCTTCATCTAATATCTTTATCTCGTGATTCGTCGAATGTGCATGCGACGCGTATCAGAAAGGAAACCTCTCCTTTTTTTTTACATTCGCAAAATTCGCTCGCATTTCTTTTTCTTTTTTTTTTTTTTATATCGGTACAAAACATGGCACGCCGCTTCATCAACCATGAGTATTTTATACGCATAACTCTCATTGTCCTACGTGGTGAGATTAAAACGATACGAAACTTATAAATACAAAAAAAGTATTTAATAATAGTAGTATCATAGCGTGTGTATATATACATAAATATTAGAATGATAATAAACAGAGAGAAAAGATGAATTGAAAAATTGTCTAAAAATCGTTTTTGGGAAACTTTCGAAGGAGAATGCATGGTGAATAAATAGCGTCTTACATTTGATCGTCATAAATAAATATACATGCAATAGAGCTACAACGTGAAAAGGGATAAAATAGGTAATCGGTGACGATTAATAATGACGCATCGTGTCCTATAAAAAAAACTATGTAACAAATCGCGCTAGAAGCGCGTACATAATATAATGCGTAAAAAAATATAATAAAAAAATATCTTCGCATCTAACTTTGCAATTGTATGCGCAAATTGCACATCGTGAGGCGAAAACATAAAGAAAGAAAGAAAACAAAGGACACATGAACGCGATTTTCGAGAGCAATGATACATTTATATTTCTCTCTTTCTTTCCTTTTTTTTCCTCCTTCTCTTTTCGAGCGTGAATCACGTGAACGAGTATGCTCGTGTGTCAAAAAATCGTTCTGAAAATTAAAAAGAAAAAAAAAAGAAAAAAAAAAGAAAAATGTGTATCTCCCTTTTCTCTTTTGACGTTTCACGTCTGGCTGATATACGCTCCCCTCGCCACACGTTAATCGATATTTAGATCATCGATCGAAACATTGTATACTCTATAGTGTGTTGTGGATTTATTAAAATTCATTATAACTAGCATTGAAAAATCACGACCTAGGCGGTGATTTAAGAAATATGTTTTTTTGTACAGGATAATTTTATGTCACTGACACGATACCCTCATTAAGGTGTCGATTGTTGCGCTCGAACACGAGCCTCGTTCTCCTCAGGACATCAAGAATAAATACGTTTTATCGATCTTTTAGGACTTTTAAAGTCTACATCTTGTGGTCATCATATTGATGTGAGGTCGCGTCGACGAGCGTGAGAAAAATCTTTGAGCGTTGCACGTCGATCAACGCTTGGAAGGAATTATATCTGGGCGAAGAGAAATTGTTTCTCTATCATAACAGGGACGGGGAGTTTCCGGTGGTAAACAGTTTTAACTAATTAAATAATATATGGAAATTATAAATGACAAGGTTTTTTATATGATCGATTAGCCAGAATTGCAAGGACACTCTTCTTAGGATTTCTTTAGAAGAGAACTTTTGATATCCGTGAGAACACGAAAGGAAACAAGTGTTTAAATGTCACATAGCTACTACTGTTCTTTGCTCTAGATGAGATTGACTCGATCCAAACACTTATTCAATGTACAATAATAATTTGATCCGCGTTATTAAAAGGAAAGAATTAGATATAAAGATAAGTGAGCTTTATAGATTCGACTGCGCAACAAGAGTACACCTTAGCGCGGGTCGCTTATACATCCGAAGAAATGCATGTGTTTTTTTTTCTTTTTTGTAGTATTTACCGTAAATTTTGGGCACTTTGTGAAATTTCACTTCACCCTCAGATCATTTACAATAATCAATAATTTATATTACACTCTTACAACGTTTTCTCTAGTGAGTCTCTGTCTCAACATTGAACAATATACAACTGTTGTGTGTGTATGTGTGTGTTGCGTATGCGTAGACGAGTGTATCTTACGTATACGTAAGTACGGCACGGAGGATCGCCAACCCAGTGAGATGCCGTACGTAAATACGTAATACACACACGCGTACAATATATAGAATCGTCTAAGAGAAAGAACCACTAAATTACTGTATTATACAATTATCATTAATTATCACCTAACTTGGCATCCTTGCGGGAGCGGTGCGGGCGGACGCCCCGGCGATGAGCTGTGATTCGCGGACTGGGGCAGCAATGGAATATCGTCCTCTTTGGAAGATTGTTTCTCCGTGCACGACAGAGCATGCTGCTCCTCTTGCTCGGACCTCGTCTCAGCGGCGGCGGCGGCAACGGGGATGACGATATCGGAGGCCGACAATCGTTCTGCCGTCGACGCCGCCGTCGCTGTCTCCTCGTCCTCTTCCTGTTCGACATCACCTATTGGCAACGGCGCCACCGAGTTCACCAACGTCACCGTCGTTGTCGTCGCACTAGTACTACTATTACTACTGCTGCTGCTGCTGCTACTACTGCTACTACTATTACCACCACCACCATCGTCGTCCGCACTCGCGCTACTCGCTACTCGCACCGGATCCTTCAGTTCGTAGCCCTCCTGGCAGCGCGTAAGTTTTAACCGGATCGGCGTTAACTTGGCCGAACGGACGTTCCCGAGAGCAGCGACGCCGGCGTTCGGGTCCGTAGGCTGCTTCTCGTTGACGCCGCTTTCCCCTGTTGGGTATATTCCCACTTCGTCCTTGTGGGTCGGCTCGGGCGGCGGTGGACCCACTCGGCTGTCCTTGTCCGACGATGCCTGCTGATGATTGTCGTCTTCGTCGCCGGTGGCCGGCGCGTCGTTAGGTGCGTCGTTGTTCGTTGTCGTCGTCGAGGAGTTCGCGCCCGCCACCTTGCCCCACCGTATGATGATCTTGGGCGGTGCCGGACCGTCCTCTAGGATTTGCACTCGTGCCTCTTTTTTGGATTGCCGCTTCTTTCGCTTGCCATTCTTGTCGCGCTTGCTCTTTGTCTTCTCGTCGTTGTCAAAGCCCGCCATAATCATCTTGCGGAACTTCATACTCTCACGACGAAGCTCTTCCATGCTCGGGGTGCTCGGGATGCTGCTCAGTCGTTTCTTCGGCGGTCTTATCCTGCTACGATCGTCCTGTATGTTGCCTATCTCCTGACCGCCTATTATACTGCTCCCGATTTTGATCTTCAGCTTCGGCGGCCCGGCACTGGTCGCGGTAGGTCTGGTTTGTCTGCCTCTTCGACGATCGCTGACGGACCCTACCACAATACTGCGTCTCCTGTCGGAACTACTCTCATCCTCGCCAGCTACTACGTCAAGGAAGCCACTGCCACCACCGCCTCCGCGTTCTTTCCGTCGTTTCTTCTCCATGTTCGCGTCGACGACCGCTTTGTAGTCATCACGAGTTGGTATACTCGTCATGGACGCCACGGCCTTGGGGATGGTGATGACCGTCCGATTGACGGGTGGAATTATAGGAGCGGAAGCGACGCTACCGCATACTGGATCATCCATGTTCATGTCTTGCGAGCAATATTGGCGCAGCAGCTCCTTCTTACGCATGCGACGTAGATTCGATGTGCCTGAAGCAACAGACGCGCTGGTGGCGGCCGGTGTGATTATCACCGGCGCTTGTTGGGCCAACGGTGGTACCGATGATGCTGGCACATAGTTCGCGTCAAGAAATGGGCCTTTGATCTTCACCTTCAACTGATTCCTAGAATCGGTCAAGGAAACTTTGTTGGCTTCAAAACTGGTTGCGGACGACGGATCCATCACTGACGGATCAGCAAAGACTGGTTTAGAGCAAGGGTCCTCAAAGCCGCCGCCCGCGAGGTGCTGCTGTTTGCCAGCGAGCTTCTTTAATACGTAACAGTTGCCGTGCAATATCTCGTTCTCCAAATCGTCAATGTCTGGCAAGTTCGATTCTGCGGATACGCTCGCGGCAAAGGTACCCAGCAAATGATTGCCGTAGGGCTGACCGTGGACCGACGAGCTCGGTTGGTCCACGGTCGAGTTATACGTGCGCATATCTACTGGGCCTGGTAACAACGGCATAACGGTATTGTCGACGAACGCCTGATGACCAACGCTCGACTCGGACTTGGCCAGGGCAGCCTGATGATCGTGATGCGCTGCCGGTGACGAAAGCTTCTTGTCATCGGCGTATTTCTTTGCGGCGTGCAGCGTGGGACTAGACAGGGACTGGATACTGCCGTCGTTCGCCATGCCGAGTGGCTCGCTGATCCGCGTCTTCTCGTTCACGTCGGTGGATCTTTTTCGTTCACGCATCGTTCGTAGATCCGCGATATTGGTCTCGTTCGCGGAGTCCTCATCCGAATCAAAATCATACACGGTGCCTACAAGCTTGTTCTGTATCGAATCGTCGTTATGCAGTGCGTTCGACATCGGTGGCATCATCGCGATAGAAGCATTCTGATTGTTCCTGCCGCGTCCCCGTCCCCGGCCGCGACCGCGACCGCGGTAACTCGAATGTTGAGATCCCTTAACACCTCTACCGCGACCGCGAGCGGTCGGTGCGGTTCTGGTGGTTTCTTGACGTGGCGATTTACCGGGCGATTTACCCTGCAACGATGTCACCCTGGCAGACGTTCTTGTTGGTTTCGATGGCGACTTCTTTCCGGACGACGCACTTTTGTTGTCCGCACCAAGTACCTCCGTTATATTTTCCACGACGGTTTCGCTGCTGACTTGCGTCTCTGCGATAGCATTGAGGAAGGACGTCGGTACGGTAGGCGAATTAACCTGCTGCGGCAACAAAGACGGCGTGTGCCCCGGTGTTTCCGAGGATGGCGGCTGCGTCGATGGTGGTTGCTGCTGCTGTGGTTGCTGTTGAGACACCGATGGTGCTGCCGGTGGCGGTGCTGGCGGTGGCGGCGTAGTTACCTTCGTTGGCGATACCATGGCCGCGGTGAGCGCCATGTTGTGCGACGACGAGGTAAATGCGGCGGTGCACGGCGATGCTTGCATGTTGAGCGATTCCTCGAGCGGTTTCGGCACGTGTGGCAGCAGGGATGGCGGAGTCGGGAAAGGTGCGCCGAAAGGCGGTGGGAACGGCGACGGATACGGCAACTGGGCGGCGCACGACTGCGGCGGGAACAACGACACCGCTCCGGCACCATAAGAGCCGGTCTCCGAATACGAATGGTAAGGCGTCGCATCTATTGTGCACGGTGGGTACGGTGGTATCGGAGGTACGTTCTTGTAAGGTGGTATGGCTGCGTGTTCCTCTGCGGAAGATGCGGACGTGATGGACGATGACGTAGATCTACGCGAAGGCAGCACCTGGCTCTCGGCCCATCGCGTATCCGGACGACCATTGAGCTCGTTGTAGGGCGAACCACTCGGCGCGTAGTCCTGCCTGAGATCCGAAGAGACATCCTCCTTATCTAGTACGCGATCCATCTCGCTGCCCTGATCGCAGTCTTCCGAGTTAGGTAGACTGATCAAGTGGCGATTTACCATTTCCATAGGCGTGATCTCGTCGACGATCTGCGCCGGTATTCCCGCACCAGTCGCAGTTACTTGCTGCTGATCCATCATCGCGAGAGATTGCACGCGCGATTGCTCCTGTGCCACGGCATGCTGCGCCTCTAGATGCTGTTGCACCCGCTCCATTGGGTGCGTCTGCTGCAACTGCAGATACTGATCCTGCATGTTCATATTGAGCTGCAAATGCGCGACTAGAGCCGCATCAGGATTCGTCGTGGGATCCGGCATTACGGCACTGATGTCGTTCGAGAATTGATGCGCGACAGCAGCCGCGGCGGCATAACGGTGGTTCTGGTTGTCGATTAGCGTGTTCAAATGTTGCACATCGTTCGGATTAAAATTATCCATGCTCGGCGGTACCCATCTCTCATCCGCCTCGGCCCTGTCGAGCTTTGCACGCTCTACGACTGTCACCTTGGCCGTCTCGCGCTCCTCATTTCCGTACATGTAATGTTGCTCATTATTGCTATTGCTCGAATAGCAGGGCTTTCTTTTGTCTTCAATAGTGTGATTTTTGCATGTAAGATCCTCGGATACTTGCACGGGTTCCGGCCCGCTATTATTTTTCATCTCAATCGGCTGCACAATCGGTTGCGGCTGTTGTTCCACCGATTGTTGCTCCAATACATCTACCTTGCTGTGAAGCATCGGCTGCTGCTCTTCGATTGCTGGCTTTTCAACCGAATGGAAAGGCGGCTCTTCTTTTTTCGGAAGTTCTTCTTCCGCCGGAACGGATTCCAATTCGAACTGACTAGAATTCGATTTTTTCGATAGTTCCAAACGCAATTTTTCCACTAGATGCAGAGTTTCACGCGCACTATCCTCTTTGTCTTCTTTGAACCAAAGCTCGTTGTTGAAGGAAAACGAAAGAGGTGCCGCTCCTCGCTCTTCATCGCGTGGTATGCTAAAGCCATCGTCATTCACTATATCATCGGTCAGTATGTCCTGATCAAAGTCGAATAGCTCCGACACGCTGGGATCCTTGCTGCCGTGCTGCGGCGAAAAGATTGAACGATTGACGGACTTCCTCCTTTTTTGCTGGCACTCCTTCTCGGGTATCGCTGCTTCGGGTTTGTCGAGCACCGATCTTGAGCAGATGTTATCAATGTTAGATTCTTTAGCGCTGTTCTCTTCGATTGTTATCATCTCAACGGCAGCCTGCGTCTCGCTCTCGAGCTTTTGCTCTGCTTTCTTTTTCCTATCTGCAGACTTTTCCGGCGTAATCTCAACAATGTCTCTCTTTACATCCTCCTTCTCCAATTTCATGACATCTAGCACCGCGATTTCCTCATTCATATGATTCTTGACGTTCTCGTTCTTAATAGTTTCCTTTATAACGTGTTTCTCCGCTGCTGTGACCTTGTCTTTGTTCTCATTGCATGCAGATCTCTCCTCCTGAGTAGCAATTTTGCTCCTTGATAGTTTATCTAGATGCTCGCGCTTTTCGAGAAGTTTATCCAATCCTCTCGACGACTTCTTTGGACTGTCCCGTTCTGCTCGTCGTTGCTTCATTTCCTCCTCCAATGTATTGATCGCATTCCTATTGCTAGTTTTCTTGACTTTTTTATCATCCATCTTAGTAGTATTTTCAGTCGTTTTCGGAGGTTCTGCGGAAACATTCTTATTACTAATAGCATCATGTTTGTTGTCCTTTTCGGTTTCCTTGTTTATTTTCTCCGTTAGTTTCTTTTCCACTTTCTTGAGCGGTGTCGTTTCTTTGTTACCCTTGTCATCCTTTGCGGTAACCTCACTTGATTTTCGTTTGCGAGTCTCCGACTTCGTTCTGGGCGTTGTTCCGCCGCCGCTGCCGTCTTCCTTATTTCTGAGAGTGAACTGCTGTTGTTGTTGCATCTGCTTAGACTGACTTGATTTCTTAGTAGACTTGGCCCCAGAAACACTTCGTAGCCCATCATTATCTCGAGAACCACCGAGCACACTTTGTTCACCTGACTGTTGGGATTGCAGGGATGCTGACTTTTTGGAATCTCTTTGATCGGCTTTCTTACTAAGTGACTGCTGCTGCTGCTGTTGTTGCTGTGGCTCTTTAGGTACTGTGGCTCTACTTGATTCTTCTCTCTCAATAAGCGGCGGCTGAAACTCTGGTCCATGCCGCCCGTCGGAAGTTTTAAGCTTCTTATCGGGCAGCCTCTTGAGTTTCCGCCCCGCGAGAGTCTTCTTTTCGGACTCGATTACCTCGTCTACGACTTTATTCGTCGTCTGTCGCTTATTCACGGTTTTGTTCTTTACTTGATTACCGGTATCGCTTTCAGAGGATGTGGTATTAGTAGTGGAAGAGGAAGCTGGCTCCTTAACAATGTTCGACATTTTCTGGACTGGACTCTTGGCTACATCGGAATCGCTACTACTTTCCGAGGAACTGCTGCCACTGCTGCTTTCACTGCTGCTACTCTCGCTGTTACTACTCTCGGGCATCTGTTTCTTTCCCCGTTTTTCTTTCGGCGGCTCTTCCTTTCTCGTTGGTAATTCCTCTTTCTTAGGTGATTCCTCCTTCTTGACAATTTCCTTCTTCTTACCGCCATCCGGCAATTCTTTCTTTGGTTTGATGTCCGCAATCTCGACATCCGGTTGAGCAGTTTTCGTGCCCATACCGCTCTTAATATGCTCCGCAGCTTTCTTCGCGGCCTGCCGTTGCGGCACATAAGCGAGGATTTCCGTGCCATCGCCAAACTCCTTGTCAAAATCGTAAACGTCATTGTTTTTAGCATCCTTCGGTGTCTTGTTGTCACGATGTTTCTTGCTAGGCTTTTCTTTAGTCGGTTTCAAAGGTTCTCCGGGTGATTTCACAAACTCTACAGGCTCACTCGTGGTGTTCTCCTTCTTACTCTGCGTTCGCTGCATAATCTCCGACGCCTTTTTTGCTGCTTGCCGCTGCGGAACTATCAGAGCAGATGGTATGTATTCCTTCTTCTTAGGATTTTTCATGTTCTCCTTGTTCTTCGTACATTCATCCTGATATTCTGACTTTGTAGCGTCTTTAGACGCAAAGTTCTTCTGATTATTTTTGGATATATCTGCCGCCGAAAATTCCTTCACCGCGGCTTTCGTGATAAGTACAGAATGATGTTCCGGATTACGATGTTCCTGCGAGTCTGAATCGGTGTCCGAATATATAGCGGAAGCAGCGGATGGTCCGAGGCGAGAACCGGCATTAGTACTCAACGGCAATAACTCATCGCTCTCACTGCCAGAACTGCCAAGTTCCATATGTTGCAGAGTACGCGATTTGTTGACCGTATCCAGTTTATCGCTTTCACTGCTGTCGCGCAATTTGACCCGCAATCCCCTGTCCGACGCGTTCTTTTTTGATTTTCGTCTAGTGACCGACGTTTTGTTCTTCGTCGTTGTGTTTCCTTCATCTTCCGTGCTCGATTCGCTCCCGACTTTTAAACTTTTAGACTTGTTCGTGCATTTGCCAATTCCGACTTTTCTTTCCGGTTTCGTCGCGTCTGTTTCGCTGCTGCTCATTGACGACAGATCGCTGCCGTATAGGCTCTTCCGTCTGACGGAACCGTTGAAGTAAAGCTTCTTATTGGATGCACCATTAAAGTCCGGTTGTACTTTCTTTTCATCGCTCGATGCCGGCGCGGGCGACTCGACACCCGCAATCCGGGCAAGTATCGTTTCAAAATCGTGCGTATGATCCTCAGCATCGGGATGGGAATAGAGACGATCGTATATCGAGGGCCCATGATTGGCCTCGACGACAGCAACGGCTGCCGCCGGAGACAACGGTGGCCCAGCCATCACCGTTGCCTGCTTGTGAAAGGTCTGTTCGCGCAGTCTCAGGAAACTGCGACAAAGTTTCTCGCGGCGACCGACCATGTAGCACAGATTACGTACACGTTCCAGATCTTGGCGCAGTTGAACGAAAGTACGCATCTTCTCCACATCCGCTGCCTGACCCTGAGCACGTGCGCCCGCGCTCGATAACTCGCCACAACGAGGTGCCAACAATGGTTTATTATGACCGGCCTAAAACGTAATACATATCGTGTTCAATATATTTTTACATTCGCAGATTTATATAGATAATCGATGACTTACTCTTCTTTTAAGTTTCCAATAGTTATAAATGTATACAATGCTGTCGGGATCTATATCCAATTGCTGGGAGGTAATGTCCTTTATACTAACATGTTTATCGAATTCTGCTTCAATTTCCTGCAATCTGTGTGAAGATACACATATTATACTTATTTTTTATAACATGGTTTCGAAAAAGATTAATTCTTTACAAAATAAATCACAAAAAAATGTATATAGTTTTTTAATATAAGATTAATATATAAACATGTATCTATATAAAAATTTTTTTTTCTTTTAATTTAGATATAAAACTTTTTTTAACGATACTTTAAAAAGTACTCAAATATTTTTAATAAATACATATATATTTTTTCAAAATAAATTCTGTAAGCTTCAATGCAATTTGTAAAACCATATTAACTGTATCGCATACTTGGCTGCGCGGGCTTGATTTTTTTCTTCAGAAGTCATGTCTTTTCGTTTACGCCGTCTGGATTCACCATCCTCGGAATCTGATCCTCCCTTTCCACCACCACTTCCTACGCTACCCCCAACGCCAACTTTGTCTTTTGTATTTGTTCTACTGTGCTTTTGACAATATGACTAAAGAAATACAAAGTTGTCAAATTAACTTGTAATTTTAGCCAAAACATGCAGTCATTTCGATTTTTCGAAATTTAAATCACATAAGATAGTTTACCCTTAATTTCACACCATCATCCGCCATTTCATCCTCGATAATCGCCTTCATTTCAAGCCCATATTTAAAAGCACATGTAACATGATACGCTGTCTTACATGTTTTTATACTGCACTGGATGCAAGCACCCACACGTTCGCGGCATAAAACGCAAATTAGGGCCCACCGACTTTGCTGCAATTAGTGATTATATTTTCAATCAATTTATGTTTAGAATATGATAAAAAGATAATTTCAAATAAATTTAAATGATTAAAAATATATATAATATTGGATACAATTAATTGTTTATAATTGAGATATTTAAATTTAGATGTTGACAACAACACAGAATAGTAGAAAATCTATAATAATTATAAGACTATTATTTACCGGGATACTGGATATTTTTGTAATTGGTTCCATTCTCTCTACACAACCAATGCTAACTTCGGGAATCCAGAGTGCACACGAAACGTGAGCCCATTTTTGACCGCTTCGTGTACACTTCATTGCACCACCCTTATTAGGGCATAATACACAGTCGGGTCTTTGACTTAACGAACAAGTTCTACATAACCAAGAGCCATCGGGTATCGAAGTAATGCCATAACAAGCTTGATGTACACATATGTTGCAACAATCACAAAACACCATCTCATTACCCTCCTCCGAATCCGGCTGCCATAAGAATTTTTCACGTTTTAGAATCCAATTCAAATTAAAGCGTATCACATGTAAGGGATGTATAATAGATGAATTATTTCAAATTTTGATTGTATAAGAATGGAAAAAATCACTCACCGATCTGCATACATCACAAATGACATTTTCATCATACTCAATCCCGAGTCCCTCCTCGTTTTTCACAATTGTTTGAATCCTTTCCCAACATCGTACTTCTAACTCTTCTATTACACGTTCCAATTGCGATTCTGTAACCGGCATTTGTCCAGCCTAGGATAATTTTAATAGAAAATAATATCAATTAGTTCATGAATTATGTAGATTTTAATATAGATATAGAAAAAAAATCAATAAGCCGCGAGGTATGCAGTTGTTAATATATAAATATATTTATATTACTAATAAGTGTTTTAATAACAATTGTTAAAAAATAATTAATTTTTAAATTACTTATGTTACTACGAAAAGTACAGTCACAAAAACATTTTAATCTGTTTTAATCTTTTTAGTGGCAATATAATATTAAATACTAATTATATACAGTCATACAAAATTTATTTGAGTATTGTGATGAGATTATATTGATTTAATTAAATATTTACTTTCTTTAATAGATATATATATATATTTCTAATCATATCTTTTTTTAATATTTTACACGGGATATCAGCATGATTCTATGCAGAATTCAAAAATCAATTTCAAAAAAATCTTATTTGATTTACTATAGCTATAAATATAAAAGTTTTTACCTGCGCTCGTTCACCGTTAAATACTTCCAACCAGGCAATATCAGTATCGTCAAGGTCATAAGCACAAGCTTTCTCTGCTCTTGCTGGAGTATTACTTAAATGATGATCTTCTGAGTTAAAATAATCATCACGGGATATTCTTACGAATTTTTTAGGCCTGAAACAAACACGAGACGATTTCGTTATATTGCACTTTAGTAATTTTAGCAATCAGCATCTCAAATGCACAGTATAAAACACTCACAATTTGAATTCAGTTTGTAACTTCAATGGAGATGTTTCCGTAACAGTAACCGTCGGTTCGGGAAGAGAATCCGGATTAACTGGTACTTGAACACCTCTTTCCCACTCCTGTTTCCATTGATCAGTTATAACCCAATATTCGTTTGGACTTAATGGTTCACTATCTGGCAATTTCATAGCGCTGATCAGATCTTTGCGAAATAACTCTGCCGGGGCTTCAGCGGACGATCGATTGTATATGCTGGGAATCTTGATATCACTGACAGGTCGGGCGGTCCAGGGTGCCCCTCCTTGGCTGGATGACGCCATCGTTTCCTCCTCTTCAGAGGGGCCCATGGTCGCTGCCAATGCCGATGAACCAGTGGCAGCTGGGCCCAATCTACACTTGCGCCTCTTAATAGCGCCCGGACAAGACGCCAGATCATTGTCGTTTCTATGCCTCTTGCCTCGTTGTGCCATTCTACTATGCCAAATAAGCTAGTGGTACGTGGCACATGCAGGTAAACTGTATGCACCCTGAAACAATACAGTCAAGTATGTGAGTACATTTCTTTCCTCCGCAAGGTATACTTTATAAGATATTATATATAAACAGAAAAATAAACTTACTACATAGTTATCCATATATTTATTATCTGGAAAGCAGATTTTCTTCAGAACTGAAACATAAAGAAAGAATGTATATCAATACAAACAGATAATTTTATTTGTTAGTTAAATAACAAATAATACTTGATAGAAAACAAATTTTGACAGAAAATAATTTTATAAAATCATATTAGAGATTATATACTGCAATTCATTTCATTAATATGTATAAAATGTGATATATAATAATTTTAATTATATTTGTTTTACTTATTTAGTTTATGCTTTTCATAAAAATTTACAGTTAATATGTAATAACTTACATAAGGATAAGTAAATTCAGATTTAAAATAAAAATTATTAGCTTCATTAATTAGCCTCATCTTATTTCTTTTAAAAATCTTGTAATTGACAACTTTCATTTGATAAATTACCCTTATTTTTTCAATACTCCTTATAAAATACAATTAGGGAATGATATAAATATTAAACAGAAAAAGAAAATATGATAATAAGTGCATACAAAGAGAAATACATGGTACAGGAGCCATGTACAACAAATAAAATATAAAAAATATACAATCGAATAAAGTATACAATCGAGAAAGGATTGAAAACATAGTAATAGTACAATTTATAAATAATTAACCACGAAGGATAATAGAACAGAAAGAATTAGTGTAGAAAAACAATAGCGCTTTAATTGCAGTTCCAAAAGAAGGCATTCGAGTGAATCGTGTATGTCACATTATGCATAAATGTCAGTGTACTATATAGCGATAGCAACAAGGGATGAAATGTTCTCATTACATGTGATTTCTGCGCACAGAGAGTAAAGGTCAATAACACTACAACAATGTCAAAGTGTAAGAAATAGATTTTGAATTGCGCACACAGCCAGCACCCTGGACAGCAACATTTAGCATTTTAGCAACACCCGGCCAGCACGGAGGCATTTTTCAATTTGACACGACGTTAAGTAGCGCCGGTTGTTTGTTGTGTTTCCGGTCGGCAATAAACAGCGTGTCCCGCGGTGGCTGACTGCGCGCGCGATCTCTCCAACACACACCGTTGCCTCTGCTGGGGAAAGAGAAGAGGTTATAAAAAAAAAAAACGCAGGTCCGCGGGCGAACGCGGCGATTCGACAACGGCCGGATTCAGCGGGGGCGACGTTCGGCGTGGCGTTCACCGTGACGGGGACGCGCGACGCATCGCATCGCATCGCGCGGCGACGCGACAACGACGTCGTGGCGTCAGCCCGAGGCGACAATCGCGACGATCCCGAACGCCGTTCGCGTATCACCTCGCGATTCATGTAAACATTGACTGTAGCAGAGAGAACGGGGCGCCTGCGATCCGCGCTTCCGCGGATCGCTACCCGAGCGACAATAAGGGCACACTCATCACACTCACTGCACGTGTCGACGGTCGAGCGGGCCGCGGGCGGCGTTAAATCTCATTGTATACACGGCGGATCACGGTCGGCAAGGGCGATTGATGCAATTGCGTACATCTACGAGAATGCTCACGGCTCCATTACGTTGCTGCTGCTGGTGCTGCTGGTGCTCCTGCTGCTGCTGCTGCTGCTGCCCGACAACATTGACAATACAGATGGCAGCAACGTCGCGCGCACTCCACACTACGAGTCTCCCCCGCGCACGCACGCACGTACACACGTCCACTACGCGCGCGCGCGCACGCTCTCATACATACACACAACGTACACACACGCATACACACATACACTAGGGGAAGACCATTAAATACCTTATTATTGATCTATTAGCCGGATATATTTCCGCGCGCGAGGCGGCACGTGATTGCGAGCGGGCGTGAAACCGGCCGCGGGGCCGCCGGCAATCGCCGTGCGCGCTCCCGAGCCGCCGCGTTCACGCCGACGGGCTGCTGCCTGCAAGTGCGTAACGGCCTCGTCCTCTCTCTCTCTCTCTCCCTGTCACGGCAGCCTAACCAACATGTCCTCATTAGCGATTCCAGGCGGGCGGCACAGGCAAGTCCGTTACTCACTCCGCCGGCGGGTCCGCGCGTTACCCCGGCTACTCGGGGCTACTTTCGACGGCCGGCCGCGATACGGCGAACGCTCGTGTTTGATCGCGGTACGCACCAAATCAATATTATATTTACATAAAAGTGAATACTGGCGTTTGGCGCCATCATGCCTGAAAAAATAACTGTGGAAGTACGATGTCACGTGACCGACCCAGCGAGATCTCGCGATCTCGCCCGCGCACGGGTCACGGGGCCGCCACGAGATCGGACAACTGACAGGTGTTGAGCGGGACCGATCAGCGCGCTACCTGTCAATACGCTAATGTTACCTACGCGCACGGATGAGAAACACTCGCGTCGCGTTCATTGGCCATCGGCTGGGAAATTTTCTGCTGTTTCGAAAATATCCTGCGACCAATTGGTAGATCCGATCGATAATGGATAATGCAGGATATCCAATGGAAGAGCTTGTTTTCTAGTGATTTTAACTAGCAATATTTTGGGATTTAGAAACGAAAGTTTTCCGTTGGTTATCGAACGTTAGTGTTGGATCCTGCATTTCGGAGCGCGAATATTCGTATCTATATAAATTATTCTTCGTGCCGTTGACTTTATTTATGCGTTGTTGCGTTGCCGCATGTCCTATGTATTTCTTGATTTTTATGTGCGGGAAACGTTGAATGAAAAGCATAAGCGCAAAGATTTTTTTCTTTTTGCATTATTTTGGATAAATAATAAGAAAATATGGATCAGGTATCCACGTTAATGTATAATACGTTAATTTATATGTTTACGAGATATGTTTACATGATATGTTATGACAAGTAAATATGCAAAATATTTATTTTTCAATATAATATATGCACATGCCGATTTCAATTAAAATTTCATGTACACATGTATATTTTACTGTATGAAACAAGAATATAATAATTTAAAAAACATTATAATAAATTTACTAACCTTAAAGAGCGCTGACCTATAATTCTTTTTATATACCGATGGCTTTACTATATTCTTACTTTATAGACTAAAATACATTTCATTGAAATCAGAAAAGAGAGCGCGAATTTTCTTCATTATGAATATAAATTACGTCTTGTTTTCTTCCCCAGCAATTATATTTTTATAATATTACTTCTAAAGAACTTTTGAAAGCAACAAATATATTAATACGTCACATATTTTGAATTTTGAATTGTATTTGATTACATCACACATTTCTTACATCTGTGTTGACTTTTGCAGGACTTAAAAGCTAAAATTGATCAAGCTTGTCGAACTGCAGAGGAATTTACAAAACTGTATTATGAATATCTAGACAAGCGGAGATATGTAAGTAACAATAATATACTGTCAAACATATTTTTTCTTTGTTGATTGTACATGAACTGTACATATAATTTTAGCTGATTTCAAGAATGTATATGGAGACTGCTACTTTGATGTGGAACGGAAATGGAGTAGTAGGCAAAGACAATATACAAAAGTTCTGGACAGATCTGCCGTCTTCAGAGCATACCGTTACTACTCTCGATGCTCAGCCAATTACAGGTAAATGTTAGTAATCATATCACACTCTAGCATTCTTGACTATAAAAATATCAGACAAGTAAAAATATTCAAAAATATTAGATCTGTTACATTTTATTTTATATCTCAATTTTTATGACTCAAGTTTCTTTTTCTGATAAAATTTCTCTTTTGTCACATATAAATAAATATTTTGAATGTTCTCTTATTTTAATACTTTTATTAAGATGTGATATCTGCTAAATTTATCTCGCTGTTTGAAACACTTAAGTAGATAATTTGTATTGAAATATTAAACTGTAATATGTTAATAGGCCCAGAGGTAGCAAATCAATTAACATTTCTCGTCAAAGTTGGTGGACAAGTAAAGTACGAAGAAAAAGGTCCCAAGCCATTTAATCAAACCTTTCTAATTACGGCTATGGGTGATAAGTGGAAGATTGTAAGCGATTGTTTCCGAACGCAAGAATTACTAGGTAGTAATACAAATTAACAGCACCAATCATAAATAAGTTTTAAAACTGTACTGTTTTGTATACTGTGATAGATATCTAATTTATAATAAACATGTATAAAAAACTAATAATATAAACATATACATATATATTGCATGATAGTGTAATAACATAAAACGTACAAATTTGATGGTACATATTGGTATGCGGGACCAAACTATGAGCCATTCAAACTAAGAAAAAAACAACATAATTCGGTAATTATTTTTATTTTTATTTTCAATCAATGTATAAAGCAATATTAAAATTTTGTATTAGTGAATCAGTACGTTGGTCGATTCTTTAGGAGAGTAATTTTACATCAAAAAATTAAAAATAAATACAAGAGAGTATGGTATAAATAGACATAAAATTACTATAATACATATTATATAGAACATTAATTTTAGTATCTCTTTTAATAATACAATTTTATTCGAATAAACGTCTGCTGACTAAAATTCATTTGTATAACTATTATCGTTTCTGTTGAGCATGATTCTCTTTTGATAAAAAGAAGAAAGATAAAGAGAGGGCTTGATTAGTTTATCACAGGTACAAAAGATATATAAAGAAACTTGGGAGGTTGAAACCAAAAGAAAGAATACATTTACATGATTAAAAGATTACTACTTTGAATTCAATATATATACTACTAGCCGCGTAATACCGCGCGCGCGCGTATGATATAGGCAGTGTCATATAAGAAATAGGTTGTTGGTGACTTATTTTCTGTTTCTATTGCATTCTTCTTTAGTGTCAAGCACGAACTTGAAATGAAGTATAAGCCTGAAAACTTCCATAAAATCAGTTCTCAGAACATTATCAGAGCAATAGCTCTTTACAGTCAATATATTACAAACTATAAAACTTGGCCTACTTGTTCTCCATAAAAATGCCAACACTATCAAATTCTAACTATATGCACAAAACTTTGTAAAACATGTCATCACAAACAAATTTAATATTTCAAATACAATATTTATATTTCTCTTTTTTCTTTAAAATATCTATTCTTTAAAAACATAAATGAAGATAAGAGAGAGATATAAATGCTTATACAAAATAATAAGTGCAAGCAAATGCATGATGCTTAAAAATCTCCATTGTATGTAGGGAATATTGTACGGACAAAGGTAATGTATATTATATATTATTATTTGTCCGTTACTTTGTTACTAACGTTCTCACTTCATTCTGATGTACAAGTTTATCGATTAAGATGCACTTTCTATAAGTTACATTATGAATCAATTGTTCACATGGATGTCTTCAGGCGAATATTTCCTTTTACTATTGTGCTTTTTGGAAGAACTATACCATATGAATGGATAAAAACGAAGCACACGACACTCAAGAGCTGTTTGATTAATTACATTCGATTTTTTGTTGTATTTGAGTATAATTTATGTAGGCGTACGATTATCGCATGTGTATAGCTGTTATATATCCAACTTACTCTATACAAATACAAAATCGTTTATATATTGTCCCAGAATACACATGAAACGACTTACGACTTAGGTGTTCTGTATTTATATATATATACATATATATATATATGTATTTATATATATGTATATATAAATATATATTGTAATATGTATATTGTCTAGTCTAAAAATCTCGCGTAATAATAATATATATATATGTATATTACTAAGCACGACGTGTGTATAAAATTACATGTAAAACGAAACGATTTACGCGATACGTAAGCGACTCGAGGATATAGAGTTAGCGTGCGATGACTCTTGCATTCGCGTTACGCTTTTGCTCCGATGCCAATACTCCAATTATATACTCTACTGACAATGAGAATTCGCGCATGATCGGTGTGTATGTATGTGTGTTATATATTCCATAGAGTTATTATATAATCATCACATTTACTTATCCGTTTATATGAAAATCGTCGTACGTCTCGACATAAAAATTCAATCATGCAAAGGTGTATATTCCTTTTTTTTTTTTTTGTCTTAAGGCCGTATTTTTCTGCCAGGCCTGGTGAGCACACACGATAGTAGTGTGATCTCCCAAAGATCTTCCAAAAAATACGAATGATATACACAGGCGGAATTGTAAATGTATACGAACTTAGTTTGCTACGCGCAAAATTCCGTCTGAATTGTATGTTGCCTCTGCGTGTCGGGAGATATACCGGCGATCATTTGACTTGTGCAACTTTGGATTAATCCCCTCTCCTCCCTCTAACGATCGCGAAATCGTATTATCGATTAACTTATTCACACTAGCTCATTCTTATATATTCGCTCGGAAATTAATTGCTATGTTTCCAAAAAAGGACCTCAATCTTTGATAAAACCTTACTTAGTGTATGCGTGTGTGTGTGACTTAGATATATATTTATATAAATTTATGTATACTCTATACGCCCACGGATCCGATGAGATAAAGATAGAAAGAGAAAGAGATAGAAGAGTGAGGAGAATGATGAATTCTACGATTCAACGAGAAACACCACGACAGGAACGGGAGAATGACGGAGGGAAATGTTCGCAGGAGGAGATGCTCGTTTTGATTTTTTAATCCGCCGGCGATTCGTGTGCAGCTTTACCTCTGCACCGTGTTTATTACGTCTTTTATCGTGTTCTGCACATCGCACAAGAGTCTCGTGTTCTCAGTGATGTTGCGCGTGCCGGCGGCCCGTAATTGCCTCGCTTGTAGTTCGAGTCGAGTGAGTAGGTCGCGGAATTGGAACCTCGCGTGCGGCGCGATTGCCGTGTCAGTCAGATTGACGCACATACCGTGCAACAGGCCGACTTTATCGGACAGCTGCAACCAACTGGCCATGACAATGGTGGGGCTGCCTTTCAAGTTAAGAATACTGTTCTCGATGACATTCGAGATCTCCATCACGCTATGCTTTGCCCCTTTCGATTCACCACCAGTCTGTTTACCGCCACCGTCATCATCAATGCCTTGGGACGATGACTTGTTGCAGTTTGGTGTGGCGTATATCGAGGAACCAAAGTGTTTACTGGATGGTCCAAGTGGTTTTAACGGTTTGGCCGGCACAATCGGTTTCTCCATCTCTGAGGACGATGACGTTGGAGGCCATATTCGCGAGTCGCCCTTGCTGGTTGAGCTCCTGGTCGAGGCGTTGCTATGATCCTCCGGCGAATCTTCGTTCGCAATGTCGTCCTGCTTGCTACTCGCCCCTCTCACATTTAATTTAGGACTAAGTGGTTGGTTATCACAAGAAGCCTCCTTATTCTCCCACAATTTTTTTAGGCTACTAATACTTCCGGTGCTGCGGCGCTTATCGTCGTTTGCATCATCCACGCCAGACGATGAATCCGCCGAATCTACGACATTACTCCCCTGTGCGTTGTCATCGAAACGCGACGATTTGCCCCTCTCTTCCGCCGCGGCTTTTTCCTTATCAACGTTGTCCACCTTCCGCAACCGAGCTTTAAAATCGATTATCTGATTATCCGGATTTTCTTCCTTCTGCGGATTACTTCTCTTATCCACCCTCTTCAATTTGAAACCTACGCTAGTCGCGCTTAATATATGGCCCTCGGTGATCGGCGAAGTTATCATCGGGATCTCTTTGTGAGTATTGTTCTTCTCAGGGAATATACTACTTTGCGTATTTACGTGAATGTGCTCCTGAATGTTTCCGGACACATCGTTGTTCTTCAACATTGCAATCGCGTATTCACTCGGAACAATATGTTGCTTGTTGGTAGAATCCATGCTAAAACTGGCGCACAACTCGGACAGAAGCTGCGACGCTGGATCAAGCGGCGCTGACGGAAGCCCGCTGCTACTAACGTTGCTGCCGATCTTCTTCGCAGAACTGCTACTACTACCTTGTTTCATATCTGCGCTCTGCTTAATCTCGTTGATCAGCTTAAGTTCCAGCATCTCTTTCATGCCTGGTTTGGATTCGAAGGTGTCCAAAGATGTACCGGTAGCGCTTACCGCGCTGCCGATTGGGGGCAACGGAGGCGGGGGTGGGGGTGGTGCTTCCTCGGGAGCCGCGATTCCGATTACGTCCATCGATTCCGCTTTCATTGCGCCGCCACTTGTCGTCTCCTTCGGTTTGTAAATCAACTTCTTCTCGTCTGCGGATCTACCGCCGCAATGCGCATCGCCAGAAGTAGAGGAAGTGGTCTCTCGGCGTCGTAAGTTCACACCGAATCGCGAACTAGCCTCCTTTACCGACGGTTCGGCGTTCCTCACATCGTTATTCCTATCGTCCTGATCGTGATCGTTTATCATTTCATCTTTACTCCGCCATTCCGCTTTCAACTTCCTGAGACCGACTGGCGAACTCGCGATTTTTGTATGAGACGAGGAACTCTCGGCACACGGCGACGCCGTAGTCGCGGATGGCAGTAGATCGCACTGTTCACCAAAGATCTCGTCTGGAGGTGGTGGCAAATCCAACGGCGGCGGCGGGAACTCCAGATCAGCCAGAGTCGGTTGGATCGATCTTGACGGACTGGCGGTACGAAAACTGGAGTTGTTCGGCGCGCGGAAGGTCCGCAGACCGATTCCCTCCGCGTTGGTCTTCCGAACACCTACAGCACGGCTGCGCGGTGAATTCGGCGGTTGATAGGTGTTCACCACTCCGCTCGAGGAGTTGCTGCGCGTCATCTGCGGTTGACCACGCAGATTGTTCTGGCGAGGCGAGAGCGAACGATGTTGCGAGACCGTATCAATCATGGCGCTCGCGACGATGTCCTGCTGCTGTTCTACGATCGCGGTGGACAAAGAAGACGTAGCGGTTGAAACACTCTCCTGATTCGACGGCATACCACTTTGTCGCAGAGATTCCAAGTACGCCCCGATTCTAGCGCCTTTTGGCAATGTACCGTAACGATTGATCGCTCTCTTAACATTTTGCACCTCCAGCGCACCCACGTGTACCAGCTGAAATGACATTTTTTCTCTAAATCACGACTCGCTTTCTCGTCATCGAGCATCATCAAGCAAGTTATTCAAGCAGTGCTAAATGCATTTACCATCAAAACTGACTTTACTCTGATTCTAAAGATTCTCAAGCAGACATATAGATAAGAACATTATCGTTATAATACTCGGAACATTTAACATCGTATACGAGTAAAGAAGGTATGTTTTTTATGTGTCTAGTATTTTTAGCTTTATTTATAGCTTTGAAATATTATCGTGGCCGCTCAACGTAAGATCATTGTACCTTCTGAGATAGTACCTCCTTAGATGTGTAAGGTCGAGATTTAATTTGTTTCTGATTGCACGGTAAGTTGGATACTGGTTCCGGCGAAGTTGACGGTTGAGGAACAAAGTTATGTTCTGCTGTCCCTTGCGACCCATCTCCGTCGTCGTCCATATCGCAACCTCCTGTAGTAATTGACTGTGTAGCCATTGTCACGAGATCACGTGTGATACCTGAGTCGCCATTTAATAAAGTGTACTGTATACAATCTATAGCTAACGCATATCTCTCCAGCATGTAAGCGCAACGCGTTATAAATATTGGAATCTTTTGGAAGAGAGCTAAGAGAGAGAGAAAGAGAAAAATACTTGCGGCGCCTATCAATCTTAATCTCTGCTTTCCTTTTGTCACACTTCATTCCATTCATCCCTAGGGTCATTCTCCTTTCGACATTAAGTTAGGAGCAGATCGTTAAATTGTACTCATTGTGTAATACTATTGCCAGTAAAGTGTTGTAACATGTGTCGATAATGAACAATTAGTGAAAATGACAAATGGTATATGATGTGTATTAGAGTATTTAGAATAATTCATTATGATATATATGAATAGAGACTTAGTAAACTCACATAACACTGCTTGAACACAGTTAAATTTTATGCGATGATAAAGTCGATGAAATATATCAATGCTGTTACACAAGTCAAATTCCAATCTTTAGAATGAGAATATAACTAAACGATAAAATATATATCTAGGAAACTAAAACGAAAAAAAATGGAAAGTTCTACTTGTACCTTTACAGAGACGAACATCATGCACAAGTATATATGGTACTTGTTAGATTAATAACGTAATATGATAGATAAAGTATGGTAAAATATCGTTTCCTATTCATATAACTCTGGGAACGAAAAACTGCAGCTACAATGTACAGTATGTACGAGATGCAGACGTTCGAGTATATGCATTAATAAAATATATTCAAGTACTATTATCAAAAATTAGTATTTGGTGTGTATTCAACATTCAATTATACTGACTCGAGGAGAATGACCCACATTCATGAAGCCGTAAAATCACTGTAGGCAAAGATGCATATCAAAATTAAATTCAAAGTCAACTGAAAGTTAACGAAAGAAAAATTAAACAAAAGCGGCAATTTCGTGCATTTATCATTACACTTAAGTTTGATATAGTGGAATACCTTCAAAAATCTTATCAATACCATTTAGATCTGTGCCATCGTCAAGCGTCATAGTGCTCACTTCGACATTTTGCTGATCTTGCTCTTGGTAGGCGGAATCTCGGAAAGAACTGCACGATGATAGCAGGCTGTGATGGAAGACATAGCTTTTTGTTATATCACGTAATTATGATTGTTCAATTGTATATTTATAGGTGAAAAGAAAGCATACCTTGTTCGCTTGGGAGGCGCCGGCGCTTGTTTTCCCTTCTTATTGGTCGATCTTCGCATTTGAACTATATTACTATTACTCCTACTCGACAAGCCACCCATAAAAGTACTCAGCTTGGTAACCGAACCAACTCCTTCTGCGCAAAATATACGAGTCTCTATTTTAAAATAAAATTTCTAGAGCAGCCAAATTTGAAAAAATCGAATTTAAATAATCAAATTTAATTTGTTATTATTAATTTAATTTTTTTATTATTTAATTTTTTATCATGATACTATAAAAACTATTTTATAGTTTATATTTTCTTACAATTCAATTGCTAAGATGTCGCAATTGAATTATTAATAATACTATAATATTAAATATTACCTTGTGTTATGCCAGAAGAAGATAATTGCTCGGATACAAGAACAAGCCCATGTATATTTCCTGTACTTCCAGTCTGCGATTTTTTATATGATAGTAATGGGATTTCCCCTCCACCTTGAAGCTGCTTCTCTACCTCTACAATAGATACATGTATAAGTTAATAAGATTGCAATTCTTTATATGAAATTAATTATCTGATAGAGTAATTCACTGACCTTCGGTAATACTCGATTCTTGAAACATATTTTCTAATGAATGGTGTATTTCCTTGAAAGTTGGCCGATCTGACGCTGACCACTGCCAACATTGACGCATCAATTCATAAACTTTCGGCGGACAGCCTGGAGGACACTCCATTCGATAGCCTTTCTCCAACATATGATAAACGTCTGTCAAATCGACACCAGGATAAGGGGACATACCATAGGTAGCAATTTCCCACAAAAGGATACCAAATGCCCACACATCAGACTATAAAAATCATTAATTAGTATAATAGGATAACACAATAGCCTACATTTTTTAATAATTTTTGTATACCTTTGTGGAAAATTTATTGTATGCTAAACCTTCCGGCGCTGTCCATTTTATGGGAAATTTTGCCCCGGCATGAGCAGTGTATGTGTCGTCTCTCATAAGACGGGCTAATCCAAAATCCGCAACTTTAACAAGATGATTCTCGCCGACCAGACAATTTCTGGCTGCTAGATCGCGATGGATGAAATTTCTACTCTCTAAGTAACTCATGCCACTCGCGATTTGCGTAGCCATGTGCATCAAAACCACGGCGTTAATCTGATGTTTACTCTCGTTTCGCAAATAATCAAGGAGATTTCCTTTGCTCATGAATTCCGTGATGATGTAGAACGGCGGTTCGCGCGTACACACTCCCAGCAACTGCACTAAATTTCTATGTTTCATTTCTTTCATGATGGCCGCCTCCTCCAGGAAATCCTTCAGTGCCATTGTGTCCTCTTTGAGCGTCTTAACCGCTACAGTCATATTGTATCTCTTCCAGACTGCTTCGTATACATCACCATATTGACCGCCTCCTAATTTATGCCTCATTACTATGTCCGTTCGATTAATCTCCCATTCGTCCGGCTCCGGACTTAACGGGAAGACAGTAGGCTTGTTGTGCTTTGGTGCGGGATACAGCAGTTGTGTGATGAGGCCGTCGGCAAGCATCGAATGATGATGCACCAGTTCAGCCAGCGTATTAAATTTACTCTCCGTCGTGACGAACATCTTTCCTTCACTGTCCTCATTGATTCTATAGTGATACACTCGACCCTCGTATCTCAAAGAGATACTACGTTGTCCGGGACTACTCTCCGATTCCCGTACGAGAAAACTACCGTTTATTCCCGAACTCAACAGATATTCCGCAGCATTCCTAGATATTCTCCCATGATACCAAGAGTGTTTTTCCAAAGAATTCACGGGTGTCACATAGTTTGATGGTACCCATCCTACTTGTCCGGTGCTCGAGTGAGCCTCGCACCATTCTCCGCTCTTGTTATAACTTAGGATACGTACTTGTTCACCTGTTCAGAAATATTAAAAAATAATTTAAAGTATGCAATATTTATAGATCGGCACTTATGCATCTTATGAAATATGGTATCTATGATAATATTTAATAAGAAATATAAATTACCCTTTTTCAGACTAAGTTGATTCTCCCCACCAGCTTGAAAATCATACAAAGCGACAAATAATTGAGGATCATCTTCCTCTTGTGCCAACAGATTTTCTTTGCTGGTCCATCTGCATGAAATGATTAAAAATATCTCTGGGATTAAATTTTTTCTTTTGTTGATATGTATTAAATTTCAATGTTTCTGTCATCTTTATATTTAAAATTCTAGATCTTACAAAAAAATTATAATAAAAAAGAATAATCCATATATACAAGAGTTTTAATACATTTTAGAATTTTAATACATTTTAATACATTTTATATATAATAAAATTTTAATATATTTTAGAATTTTAATATATTATTCTTGACATTATATTTAAAAAAAACCTAAGAGATCTCTTTCTGTATTAAAATTGCAAAAGTATATAAAACAGTATTATATAAGTTTAGACATATGTTGCTTTAGACTTTGAACAGTGAACTGACCTATTTGCTGCTTCAAGAAGCCCACTAGCAGACACATTGGTGTGTTGTTGAACATTTGCTTGCTGTGAAATTGATTGAACACTAGAACCACTTGGAGGATCACCTTCTGGCAATGCTGGAATGTGAGGCAGCGGTCTGCTTTGTAAAAGTGCCTCTGCAAGAAATAATAAACAGAGCTTTTCTTTATAACTTTAAATATATGTCCAAAATAAAAATTTCTGACATTGCAATTAAACAGTTCTGTGCTTATATAATAAAATATATGAAAATCTCAGAAATATATTTAACATAAAGTATTCAATGTACAGTACAAGAATAAATCAATGCAATTTTGCTTAAGACATTTTAAAGTTATCAATTCTTTCTATAGATAAATATTTATATATTGTAAAATTTTCATTCAGTCATTCTAATGTCTATATTAACTGATAAATATTCATCAATGTAGACATTAATGCATATTCATTACATGTTAAGAGGCTTTTATCATAAAACTAAATTCTTGTCAACTACTCTTTTATCATCAATTCTAGTCTATATAAATACTGTAATATTACACTATATCAAATCAGGAAAGCGCATCTCATATATAGGAATGCATGCCAGCTCCGTAAATTGTAGAATTATAATTTAACACAAACTACATAGCGACGTATGTAAAAATCATTCAATGTACAGATTCTGTTCTGCAAAATTCTGCGTGACAGAAATAAGCGTGTTCCCACAGTGGAGCGGATCAGCTAACTATTAACATGCGTGTTCTCACCGCTGTGCTCGGTGAATATGTTAGAGCCTATGAGGCGCGTATCCTTCAGGTTCCTGGTTTGCTGCTTGCGCGTTTGTCGCACGGTGGACCCAGCGGGGATCACCCTGTCCTTGGTCTGCTGGGCCCCCATAGTCTGTTGCCCACCGGATTACTGTACCATGCCCCCTCGCCTGTATCCCTCGCCGACCCCGGCTGCGTACGGGACGGGGCGACCAGATCTGCTGCTCTCCTGCTCGCCGCCACCCTCGCGCACACTTCACTTCCGGCACTCGGAAGGCACCGCCGGCGAGGCTTCTGACATCGCGATTGTCGTCCGCGTATCTCGTCGTTCGCGGGAGACACCGCGAACGTGTCGGTCCACCCAGCCTCTCGAAGCGCAGATCACAGTGCGGTCAGGCCTAATCACATTTTTACATGTCAATTATCCGCTCTCTGTCTCTCTCGCTGCCCCTCGCCATATTTGACAGCTTTTGACGTCGATTATTTAGTTTGTCGATGCATTGCTGTGCGGCAGCACGACGCTGGGCGGGTTCTCATGCTTGTGGAAAAATCCTCGCCTTTTCGTCTTTTTATTCTGTTTATTTATCTATTATACATATATTTTTTTGACATTTATATATATATATATATATATGTCAAATATATATACAAGATTAAAAATCATTCTCTATTGTAATTGTAAGTTTATTATTATAGGGGTTTACTGTTTTTAATTACATATTTTCTTTATATTGTTTTTTCTTTTCAATTTTGATTATTTTTCTAAAAAAATCGCTTTTTAGCCCCTGATAGACGATGTTACTGATTACGAATATTATTATTTTTTCTGTATTTTGGTAGTAATAGAACAACTACGAATCCGTAGTTTACGGCCGACCGATCATCATTTCCATTTTCGGACTATGCATTAAACATTAAAATTAAATAGTAATTTGACCAATCAAAAGAAAGAAATTTTAGCTCCCTTTATTCTGATTAGCCAAATTCCAATTGAAGTGTGAAAATTGGAATTTAACCAATCAGAACAAAAGGAACTAAAATTTCTTTCTTCTGATTGGTCTATTTTTAATCTCAATGTTCAATGCAGTGGAATAGTCGACACATGGTCATAGATGGCATTTGACACGTTCTGCGCGACCGGATACGACCATTCAAAGCTGATCTATGCCGCCATGTTGTCACGTGATCGCACGGACAGGCAAGGGCAGCATTGAGGTGAATGCGCCGGGTCAAATACGAGGTATCGGTCACAAAAATTCAGGCGTCTAATTAATACGGTGAGCTGAGGCGGCCCGGAGCTATGGATGCGCGAAAGCTCACGGAGCTGCTGCGGGCGACGATCGACCCCGCGCAGCAAAAGGAGGCGGAGGGACAGCTCAATCAGGTACGCGTGAAAAATCACGGGTGCAACCGTGATCGCGAGCGAAAACGTGCTCCCCGATTCGCGACAGGGTGGCGAGAGCGGTGGGAGAGGAAGTGCTCGAGGCCCCACGGGAACATGTGGCTTGCACATTATGTCGTATCCTCGCGCAGAGGGTAACAGATGAGAAGATACATCCTCGTCGAGGATGTATCTTTCACCGTTAGAATCGCTCCTCGGTCAAATTTTTTTTTCTATTTTTTTTTTTTTTTTTTTTTTTTTTTCCCCTCGAAAAGGGAAGGCTTTTTAATATCCTTGATAAAAATATTTCATGCTTGACGAGTAGCAGCACCCACGAGAAAATCAAACAAGATATCGACAATTCTCCGAAATATCCGCGACGTGAATAATAAATCGCTTCCTTAGCGCTGGAGTCGCACATGCGCGCATGTGTGTAGGTATATTCCCAAGATACTCTCACATTATTTCTTTCGTCAAATATGGGTGAATTTTTCGCTGTCAGAATTGCGAAAGAACAAAAGAATCTATGTCGATCGCTAAAGATGGGTAATTTGTAGCGAACACGTGCTAACCATACACGTGCCCATTCTTTGTTCTCACAATTGCAATTTAGAGTAAGGATGATGCATTGGGGCAATACCGGCTGTATGTTTGAAACCATTGCTCGTTTTCCTTCCCCTCTTTTTGTCTTCAAAAAAATGGCGTTTATATTTGAGATTTGTGAGGTCGCGGTATTTTACGAATTATACTCGAAAGAGGATTTTGCAGCATAAATGATCATTTATAAAAAATTATAGAGATTATATTGCGAATAATTTTAATATAATCTTTATCTCTAATACTTTTTCATTTTAATCTAGGCTACCAAAAATTCATTTAGAGAGATAGCTTTATTCTCTTTATCTTCTTCTCTCTGGCGCATTCGCATTTCCTGTACAACACCTGTATCTGGAAGCTTTGTAACGTTATATTCGAAAGTGACCCGACATTCTGTTTGATCTAATGAAACTTCATTCGAGTGCCGGTACCGAAGTGACAGTGCGTGCGGTTCCCATGTCAAACGAAGCTCCGATCCTATCATTTAAACATCCGTTTGGCATTGACATGAAAGGAAGCCATCTTGTCAACCGCGGTAATAGATGAAACTTAAGTTCATATTTTGTTATCGTGAATATATATATATATATATAATACAAGATCGTTATTAACGAAATACCCTATTTTTATTTATTATATAATATATGCAGCGAGAAATTATATTCTACATACAGAAATTATACGTTTATTACATTTTATGTAATAAATGTTATCACATTTTATCAAAATGTCTAACGTGAAACTTGCGAGAAATTACATTCGGCATAAAATGATATAGAAGCGTAAAGTTTTAATGAGATTATACTTTTTAAATGACAGTTCTTTTAAACATATTTATTTTACTATTTTAATCCGATGTAAATAATGCTTTCATTACTGTTTCGTACATCACTCTAAATACTGTATTAAAACTGCCATGAAGTAATTTCATTACATCCCTTGATATACGAGCACGAAGACTTAGTAACACGGATAATATCGTGATTGACAACATAATCGCGCAAAATTCGACGTCACTCCTGCAAAATGAACAATTCAGCGAGGAGTACGTGCTCTTTACATTACGTTGTCAATTATAGCAAACAGAGATGAAAAGTAACAAAGATGAAGGGAAGAGAAGGATCGACGGTGAGTGTTCACTTGTGGTTGGAGGCATCAATTACCTCGGGTAACACCCGAGAGGGTTTAAAACGTGCAAAATATTGGAAGAGTATGTTCGGGATAAACGAAACCGAGTATTGAAGGTAAAACGATTGTTAAGACTGCACAATAGTCTTCATGCATGCTCGATTTTATTTTATTTTTTTTAACTCTCGTTTAAATTTGCCTGTTGCACTATCGTAAAATACACCAATATACGGCGTTTTCTCTGTACAATGCCGGAATTAGGACGCCTATACGTAACGTCCGGCGGAGTCACGATAACTGACCGAGCAACTGGTAATCTCGTCCCGCTAATCAAATCAATCGCATGAAACTCCGAGGCCCCGCTACATCTTAAATTAAACGTCTGTTCTTACAACCAATTAGCGTAATACGAGCTGACCTAAAATTCGTTTGTAGCTTAATATTCCTTAACTAATTTCGGATCGAGGCAAAAGAAAATGTTTACGCTAATGATTTTTAGGTCGGTAATTTCAAAATAGAAGACTTCTCTCGCGTTACCCGATATTCGCGCAGAAACGGCGCAATAATATATTCCAACAATATGCAAACCTCCGCGAACGTTATTTCACGTCATCCTGGCGAGCGTAATAAAAAACTATAAAGCGATACGAGGTTAAGGATTTTTTTTTCGAACTTCAATTCTCGGAGTCGGAGTATTCGGTCGCGAATGAAAGGAACTGGAGAGACCACGAGGGAGACGATTCATGCTTGTTTCGTTCTCGGAATATTCGCGTCTGGGATGAGCTACGACTCGTTCGATTTCGCCGAATGATGCCGAGACCCGTATTTTCGTTTATTAGTCTCTCAATATGCTCGCGCGCGAAAACGATAATCTCAAGGGCGTTTTATCCTTTGGAGCATGGAATAAACTTCTCGCAATTGTACTTGTACGAGCGAATGTATATTATATTGCATATTAATGCGTTATATCATCGAAGGAAATTTTTCGATACAACTTGTAATTTCCTTATCTATATGTCATTGTAGGTGTATTATTTTTACATACTTAGTATATACGTATATATACTTTATACATTCTGTAATTTGTCACAAGCCTGTAGAATATAGTAACATTGTAACAATAATAATATTCTAATGATGCAGTGTACTAGTGAATATAATGGTATTTTTGAATTTTTCAGATTCACAAAATCATTGGTTTTGCTCCAACGCTCCTACAGGTAGTAATGTCAAATGAAGTTGACGTACCTGTCAGGCAAGCTGGTAAATAACAATTTGTAATCTTTTTGTGCTACATATAAGATTGAAGATGAAACTTAAATTATAAAACACAATATTTTTGTTATCTTTTTATAGGTGTAATTTACTTAAAAAATTTAATTACTTCAAATTGGGCTGATAAAGAGGCTGATAGTGGACCCATAGAATTTAGTATTCATGAACAAGATCGTGCAATGATACGCGATGCCATAGTAGACGCAGTGGTACACGCTCCAGAAATAATTAGGCAAGTTGTAATATCCGATTTACATCATTAATTAAGAATATATGTACATATTGTAATTGTTATAACATATATTGTACTTCTGCATTATATGTTTAGAGTACAATTAGCAGTATGCATCAGTAATATAGTTAAACACGACTTCCCTGGAAGATGGACGCAAATAGTGGACAAAATTACAATATATCTTCAGAATCCAGATGCTTCGTGTTGGCCTGGTGTTCTCCTCGCGCTGCATCAACTTGTTAAAAATTTTGAGTATGTATATTTAATCATGCACTTGCGATGTTCTACTGTATAGTATATGTTTTATATATTCCACACTGCTCTGATAACTAGGTATAAGAAAGCAGAAGAGAGGGGACCATTAAATGAAGCAATGAACTTGTTATTGCCTATGATCTATCAATTGATATTACGCTTATTGCCAGATTCGTCCGAGCAATCTGTCCTACTTCAGAAACAGATACTAAAAATTTTCTTTGCTCTTACCCAGGTATGCAGGAATATCGAAATATAAGCCAAAATAATATTTGTCAAAATATTTTGAAATTTAATGACATGTCTTATCCTCCCTGTAGTACACACTTCCTCTTGATCTTATCTCGAGAGAAGTATTTTCACAGTGGATGGATGTAGTAAGACAAATAGCTGATAGACCAGTACCACCAGAGATCAATAATCCAGATCTTGACGATGACGAACGTGCGGAACTGCCTTGGTGGAAATGTAAAAAATGGGCGTTACATATTTTACATAGGATGTTTGAAAGGTAATTATATAATAAATAATAATATTATATAGAGGCTCTTGAGAATAAAATCTAATGTAATAAAAGGGCAATAGAGCCAAGCGCGGTAAATAGTGCGCAACGGTGCTTTATTTTAAATACGGCAAATCAAATTAATAAATAATTAT